CTCAAAAATATGTATGTCTGAGATAACTTTCTCAACGAAAATAGAACGCCACATCAGGGATGAAAAAACGAATATTATCGATATGATTATAGAATTTCATTCTTGCATTCAAGCAAATGTTTTATAACTTTCGCTTCTTCAGATCATTGTAAATGAAAATGATTAGTTTTGATGTATAGTTCAAGATAGAAGAAAAGAAGAAACTTGCAAAGTACTTCATTAACTAGGACAATCAAGAATGTAGATCTGAACGTTGTAGAAGAATAAAAATGCACACACACCCATCTATTTAGTGCATGGTTTTTATTTACTATAACACCGTTACATTGACCAGTATTTCAACTGTTATCCATCACTGATAATATTGTATTTCATGAATCTAAACTCATCTTCTTTTCCTTCCATTATAAAGAGAACAAGCTGTGGAAGAGAAATGTTGACAAAAGAGGATAAAAAACTAATATGTTATCATCATGATTATTGTTGCTCTTAAATTCATCTATAGTGAATTGAAAATATTTATACTTGTTCCTATTAAAAGGTATGATATGCATTCTTTATTTTTATTACATAATCAATAATACAATAATACAATAAAAGAAAAAAGAAACACATCATGTAAATGTTGTTAGTACATTTGTTCTTCATATAGTTTATTCAACTGAATATTCTTGATCATTTATTTCACTATTCGTTCGATGAATAACGAGCGAACCGAACAGTTCTATTTAATCATAGTTCTTCTGGTAGAATTTTGATCAGTTAGAAATATTTGTTTCGGAATTCGTTTTTGAAAAAATATATTCACTATCCAACATAAAATTGAGAGTCCACTATTACGAATGGATAAAGGTGCTATTCTTCATCAGACCTATCCTTTTACACACACGGAAATCAAATCCTGATGAAGCAGATTTTCTTAAAAGTTCACTTCTGAACTTTTAGCACACACTATTGAGCTAACATAGCCTAAACTAAATTGTCGTGAATTTTATTTTCGGATAATAAAAATAGAACAAATAAATCACCTTTTTTTAATAGAAACAGTCTGTAAGATTTATGCCAGTCGTCTAGTTCATGTTAAGTGAGGCTCTGAACTGGAGCCAATCTTGACCTGGTGATTTAGTTCTTCTTCCGAGTGTCAAGTAAACTCGTTTGCAAGCATCATATTTTTGTATTACACATTCGTTAAATATCTGCAACACGGTTTGCTTGTTGTTTAACCGATAGATAATATATATATCCATATTGACACGCTGTAATTCCTTCAAATTTTGAAAAATTTAGTTCCATTGATAAGTACTTATCCAGTCACGAGTTTGTCCGCACCCTTTAACTTTCAATTCAACTAACAAAGGTAAACAAAACAATATTTTGGCTAGCCTGCATATAAGCCAATTGTTAAAATTCAGATTGAGACAACGAACAAGATAGTGTGGCATAACATATAAATGGTCTTCGGTGCTCAGTTTACAATTGAGTTGACGAGTTTTTCGACCATAGAAGTCATTAGACACATTAATGAGTTTTACAGAAGGAAAAAATAATTTGACTGGTGTTGTTGCGTACGAAGGATGTGAACGAGACTTCTGACTCTTCAACAGAATGATTCGTCGAATAGAAGGATGATATAAACAGAATTGGATCATTGTATTTCCAATTGATGTCAGTTCAGAACCGAGTATTGATAGAGTCAAGTTGAGATAGCTTGGCAGTCTAAATTAAAAACATTGTCTTTCTACTTGATTTTTAGACTTGTGTTAAAGAAAAACTACACTTAACTCTCGATAAACAATACTTTTTGATAAACATCTTTGACTATTGAAAGAAAAAAAATCGATAAAGTTTATTATGTTCACGAAAATAAATCATCATCAACTGTTCGAGCTATCGTAACAACTTGCTTAATTGCATGAACTAAATGCATATTGTACAGTTTTCATAACAGGTATTTAGTCAAAACTCATTATGTCGTTGACTTTCGTTGGTTGTAATTTTTGAGAGTCTTTCAGAACATTTTCGATCCTTTCTGCAATGAGTCTCATAAAAGCGTTCTAATATAACTGACTTATAGCAGTCATTTTTTGCAACTGTAGATCACTCGAATTTGGTTCCTACTAAAACTATTTTGGTTTTCATATTATAAAAAAGAACTGGTAAATCGCTTAAATTGCATAAGAGACATTGACATTAACATTTCCCATAGATTTTTAGAACAATCTGTACAAAATTTATTCATAAAGTAAGGCTATATTAGAATTTCAGAATCTATCTTATCAATTATGTAAAACTCATTAAAACTCAATCAACTATTCGTTCGAAAAAAACTGATTGAATGTGACAATTACGAATGACATGCAAAAAATAATTCGAAATGATAAATATCTCATCATACATAAGAATTATGAGTTCGATTCTCCGTACCTAATAAACTTGAAGATTTAATTACGAGAATTGAAAATTCACATTTAGCATTAAAGAATTTTTGACACGTGCAAGAAGCAGGACAAACATTAAAGTAAAAGCTTCTATATTCCAAATTTATACATCGGTAGCTTGCGATCGAAAAGTTGTCTTTTGTATGACTTACTTAAAAGTCTGACAGAGTATTTTCTATATGATTTTGAAATGTATCAAATCGTTCAAATTTTTTTCTATTAGATTCTCATTGACTGGAAAACATTTCATTATCATTCTATCTAACCTGCATAACCATATCAAGACATTCATATCCTTGTTCATTGCCATAGATGATGCAAAGTGATTTAAGATTCAGAAATCTATTAAGAGAAACAATAACATGTTCAATATGAAGCGAGATGACTTGACCGAAAGAATAATTATCATAAATAAAAGGCATCTGATGATTAAGATATACATGATGTTGTTGGCGTGGATCGAATATACACAAATTGATCATGGAAGTAAGATTGAAGAACGATTGTAGAATTTCTTTCGTATTAAAGTATTCGAATAGGTCCAGAATCAGTTCGCTTGAAAGACATTCAAATGTTGAATGATGATCTTTAGTATACGAATTCGAATGATATGTTAATATTTGCATAAGACAAAAAGTCTTACTTTATTCTTCAGTGATATTTAATCTTTTTGAAGAACGATAATCGATACTTTCTTCCATGTTTTTAATAATAAGAATGAAACGAAGTCAGATGTTCGAAAAAGAGAAGGAACATTCTATTGAGTTTTATATTCATTCGATGAGCTTGAACAAACAGATAGATGCGGACGAATAGAAACGAATATTTTTTCTTGTCCATACTGAATAACGAGCTATGATATTCATAGGTGATGGAAACAAACACCAGTGCAAATAGGAAGATTTGTCAGTTAACAGTTATAGTTATTTTAAGTATTGTTCCATAATTTATTTGAATTAGAAACTAAAAGTTACTGATAAATGTGTAAAGACTAATCATAAGTCTTAGAGTAATTTATTATGTTCGACTTTCTTTAGAAGTATTGATCTGTATTTTATTCTATTCTTCAACAAAATACCGATCATTGACATCAAACGATTACGATGTAATATGCATCAATGAAAGGCTAGGAAAGTTGAAATTTCTATCAAAAAAATAAAACTATTCTGATTTTGAATGCTCGACTATTTTTTTTCCGCAAACATTCGGAAATTTCAAAGATCTTGTTAAAACCAGTATTCAGCAAGACTTAAAGAATTTCGAATTGATTCTAGACAACTATCAAATATTTACCAAAGTAAATATACGCAAACATTTTCAATATCAACAAAGGATATATCTACTTATCTTTACTGTTCATCTAAATATTCATAGTTTGCATTTTGTGTTTGTTCATCTTTTATTGTGAGATATTTCCTTCAGGTGTGGATATGAAAAAAGAAGAAGCACCCATACACACACGCGAATCGAATTTTGACTATTATTAAGAGATACAGACATAGGTACTATTTCAGAAAAAAAAGACTGCTTTTATTTCTTTTTAGCATAAACAAAATCAATCTATCACAAACTGCATGCATAATTGATCCAATACAGTGATTCAAGCAGTCGAAACCATGTACTAAACTTCTTTATTTCGTATTATGATAGATACATGTAGAGAAGCGTTTAAAACTTGGTAAATTCTCGCGACATTGCCATCACAGTTGTGGATATCATTCATAGATAGAATGTCGTGAATTTTACACTTGTACTCATTGCAATAGTGTTTAGAAATTTATACGTATTATCCTGTCTAAAATCTATCCTGATTATCCACATAACTTATTGGAAAAATAATGAACGTAATTCCTGCATTCGATTTCCTATTGCTACGCAAGACATTTTAATAGTACTATGACAAAGTATCGAAATATATTTTTCAAAAAAAAAACAACCAGATACTAATGCTATTACCATCGGAATCTCATATAATCCCAAAATGACAACTATACCTGTGAATATGTGACTGCATATGTGTTTGAAAACATACAAACACAGAAAATAATGTATTTTATTTCATATGACTCTCTTTTTAGTCGAAAGAATCAACTTTGACTTCATTAGAATTATTAGGGTCTATCATGTTAGCTAAATATGTATCATAATAATTAATCTTAATGTCTATTTCAAATATTGAATGTTTCAAGTAGTCTATTTCAAAATTATCTTAAGCCGTGTATTTTATATTGACATGAACTGACTTCCGTCATGATTTACTCTAGTTCTTTTATGAGGATGTGTATGTGGGTTCTGCTTTATCTTACACTCAAACCGACACCTACACCTAAATCGACAGGATAAATAACACATCAAGGAAAGTAGACATTTGTTTATACAATGAACTGTTTTATTTAAGATCTCTAACAAACTTAACGTTCTCCATTAAGATGATAGAGCAATTAATACTATGACGAAATATATGGTGGCCTATTTTATTTGTCATCGTTAGGTGAACATGCACACAAATCAAACATATTTCTCTCACAATATCTATATGTGTTTATATCATAAAGAGGAAATTCATAGCCGAGCAAATTCAGCTACTTTAGTGCCACCACTAATGGCCACATACAAATTAAGATTTGAATCTAAGGCAACAGCTGTTGGTTTATCAAGATCAGGTGTTGTACTGCTACCTCCAACGACCACAATGCCAACTGCTGAATTGGCACAATACATCACCACTCGATCATTATCCGAATCGACAACATATAAATTACCATATGGATCAAAAACCATGCCTTTCGGTTTGGCAAGAGCATTTTTAGTAGCACTGACTTGACTAAGAGTTGATGTTGGACTATTATTACCAAATGTCCATATATATACTTTATCTTTGTCTGAATTACTTGTATAGACTTGATTTGATGAACTCGGTGAAAGTAGGATGTCATAGGATTTATCGATGAGACTGTTACTAACTACAACAGTACCACTAGTTGCGTTCGAAGCCCATTTGACGATTCGATCATTATGTATGTCAGCAATATAAATATTTAAATTGTCATCAACATCAATCGCTGATAAATGATCTAAATCTGTTAATGCACTTGATTTAGTTCCAGTTCCAGCAACCGTTGTACCAATATTAGAATTCGGAGGAAAGCGTTGTACACGATGATTATTATGATCAGCTACATACATATATCCATATTTGTCAAAAGTAATGTCATCAGGACTGTCAAACAAAGTCGAAGTTGAACCCGAATTACTAGTATTGCTACCAGCTATTGTCTCGGCACTTGTTGCACATTGACTCCATTGTTGAACATGATTGTTACCGGCGTCAGAAACATATAGAGTATCATTTGTACCAATATATAAGGCAGCTGCATTCTTAAATTGATTAACAACAACCGCACCTGTTTGATTCCACTGAAGATCGTTACCTAAAATAATTAATAACATTTTAAACATGTAATTATTTATCATTAAATGACTGACAAGTATTAGAGATTGTTGAACTTCCAGTGTCTAAACAGAAACAAAAAAAAAAGACTAGCATTCATTAGTAACTTAACTTGTAATACATACTTGGAATGCAACTAAGTATGTCTGTTACCGTTGTTGTTGTGGTGGTTGCTTTAATAAACAAAAAGATGTACATTTCATCATGTATTCTGAAAGAAAAAAAAGCATTTATTCTCGTTACATGTTGTTGATGTGCTTGTGCTTGAAGTTGTTGATGTTGTTGCTTAAATAGATTAAAAAAACATAATCAGGCTAGAATTCCATAGGAATATATTATTTTTCTCACATGTTGTTGTGCTTGTTGATGAAGTTGTAGTTGAAGATGTTGTTGTACTCGTTGTGCTTGTTGTACTCGTCGTCGTAGCTTTTAAATAAAAGACAAATAAAAAAAAAAAAAAAAGGTAAAATATGAAAGATTCGAATCGTATTTCTACTTGAACTTGTTGATGTTGTGGTTGTTACTTGAAATTTCATAAGAATATTATTTTAATTAATTTTCATTTTAATTATTTTCAGCTTACCTGTTGTTGTAGTTTTCCTTATGTTTGATGTTGTTACTACAAAAATCGAGAAAAATTTACTTCATATGTGAAAATAAATGTAACGAAGTGGAAAAATTACGGTAATAATACTCTCGCTAATTGTATTTATTATAAGCTATTTGAAATTTTCAATCATATTTCTCTGAGCAATGAAATGATCTTATGCAGACGATAAAGATATAGAAAGAAAATACATAAATCACTGGCAAAAACGTTATATTTTTTTTTATTAAAAGAGTTTAAAAAATTTGAATCTTGTTTTCAAAATACTTTGAATAGGCAATATGTTTGAGAATAATTTAGTCCTGATAGGTTATGATTTAATAAATGGTGCTTCGAACTTTTCAATATTTTGGCTAATATCGAATAATTTATTATTCTGTCAATAATACGAAAAAGGCTCACGAGGGGGCATTCTCAGCTGACACATCGCTTTTAAGTCAAACGTATGCGCATTATGTAGACCCTCACGATCTATGAATTCTCTGAAAAAAGTTCGTGCCGCTAGCTTATTATTGCCGACATACTGCGTTTTTACTGTATGTTTAAGAAAAAAAAAGCCGTGGCCCCCCTCAGGAACATCGGAAAACTGAATTTCGAATTTCGTCTTGAAACTTTGCATAGATATAGGCTTCAATGAGAATACTTTATTGTGAAAGTTTCAGCTCTTTTCGCTGTTCCTATCCTAAGATATAGCTATCGTAAAATTGTTCATATACACCAGCAGATCCGATGTTCTTATCTCAGACTAGGAGCAACCAAAAAAATCTGAAACCTTCACAATAAACTGTTCTCATTGAGGCCTGTCTACATGCAAAGTTTCAGGTGGAAACTCAAAAGTCACTTTTTCTGATGTTCCTGAGGGGGACCACGGCTTTTTCCTTAAACATACAGTAAAAATGCTATATCTCAACAGTAAGAAGCTAGCGGCACGAACTTTTTTCAGAGCATTCATAGATCATTAGGACCTACATGATGCCTATACACTCGACTCAAAAGCGATGTGACAGTTAGGAATGTTCCCTCGTCAGTGTTTTTTCACGACAAAATTCATGGTTCTTCAGATGAAGATAAAATATCTATTTACTTTTGTTGACATTAAGTAGAACAAAAGCAGATATTAGCTATTCTAATAACGTACTATATGCTGTTCTGATTCCATATCAACATCATTTCTGTTGTTTTCTAAAGCTTAATCGAAATGTGTTGAATAATTAACAACTTAACGGTTGAATCTAACACAAGCATGGATCTATCTTTTGATAAAATCGAATTACAGAAAGATTAACACTATTTATGATGTTGTTGAAAAATTTGTGTTAT